CCCCTGGTACATTACAGGCTGCTGCCTTTCAGTGTAGCTTAAGCATTCGTGGGAGCAGAGAGTTCCAAAGAGAGACCAGTAGATAAACTATCGGGCAGCCGAGAGAAAGAACATTCTACAGATAGTGTGAGATCTAAGCATTAAACACAATTAAATAAACAAGGTCAAGTGGGGCCTGGAAGATGTCACCAAATATAAAACTTCTCAGAGCCAAAGTCTCAGTCTGGGTAGACCCGAGCCAGGGACGTGCATCTCCTGAAGCCAGCCCTCCATCAGGCTCCACAAAGTAGGTCAGTGTGCACTTAGCTGAGCGCTTTCAGAAGGGATGATTTTATTTATGAACCAAAGCTGGACTGTGGAATTGTTAGCACCCCATGTAGTAGCAATGGAAAATAAAGGCCAGCGTAAAGGTTATAGCATCCAAAGGAATCTTTAAACCCTCCAAACTTTGGAAATAAATAGATTGCTCCTTCAGCCTACATTGTTACTCTAACCTTTCATACATAATTTTATAAATTCTCCTTACATAAATTAACTCTTCAAGTGCTAAATAAGAACAGGTACAGCCTATTTGAGTTGCTTTAAAAAAAAAACGTTCAGCAGATTTCCAAATTGAGGTAATGGAGAATTAAGCATTTCATTCACTGAAGAGGCCAGTTAGGTTATTGTTGACATTTATAGAAAGTATGGAACCCTTTATCTGAACTTGAAGCTTTTGTAAAGTGTCAGTTTGTTTGATAGTAAAGTGATATGAATTATTGATTTCTATTTCATTTTGTAATTAATCCCTAATTCTACTCTTTTGGGGGAGATGCTGTAAATGTCATACTGTTGTATCAAGTTTTTGAGACAAGGTCTTGCTATGTAGCCCAGGCTGGTCCTAGGTTCACCATCCTTCTGCCTCAGACTCCTGAGTTCTGGGATTGCTGTAATAATGCTTTAATTTTTAAAACTCTGTGTTCTGCCTAATTCTGGTGATAGGTTTTTGTAAACACCAACACTGGTTTGTTTCTTGACACTATTTCAGGTGGCAAGACCATATGGTAGCTTCTTTTGAAGAAGTATAAGCAAATACTCCTAAATGATTTATTTTGTAGTTTTGCCTGGTTGAATCATCTATATATTCTCAGAATGACTGTCTTAGCTTATTTTTTTTCCTTGAAGATCTGGCTTTCATAATTAACAATAAATTCATTATATGATGGCGTGGCATATCGCTGAAAGGCTTTTATAGTATTAAAGAGAACGTATCTATTTTAAGAATTTGAGCCCAAGTGTTGTGTAATTATTTTTCACTTGGTTAAAACCAAATAGAAAGTCCCGCTGGGCTTCTATCCTGTAGAGAACTGTGCTGCAGGCCTGCCTTTAATTATTAAAGTAGAACACTGGCCATTGCTTAGCACTCTTCGGCCTCTGTGCTCCATGCTCAAGTCTGAGAGGCCATTGACTGACTGACAGCAAGAGTGCCCTGCACAGCCCCTGTGCTGAGCCTCATCTTCCCTATGTATAAAATTTTAGACCAGTCACAATCTGATTGGACTTCATCTCTAAGAATTATAGAGAAATGAGAGTTCTCCTACCTCTTCTGTCTCTCAAATCATGTAATATTTAGAGGAAATGTTTATTTCATTTCTTTTTTTTTTATAAAGATTTATTTATTTTATTTATGAGTACACTATAGCTGTCTTCGGACAAACCAGAAGAGGGCATCCAATCTCTTTATGGATGGTTGTGAGCCACTATGTGGTTGCTGGGAATTGAACTCAGGACCTCTGGAAGAGCAGTCAGTGCTCTTAACCGCTGAGCCATCTCTCCAGCCCCTTCATTTTCATTCCTCTGTTATTTCTTCCCTATCTTGTACAATATGTCCCATAAGCCAGGCCATGTATTAGTTCAACCTGGCTTTTCTGGGTGATAGTGGTTGTTGCCCAAGCTGACCCATCTTCTAGGTCAAGCTAGAATGACATTTTGCCTGTCTGCATTTGGAAATGCTTCACTATATCTCTACTGAGTGAGGGAGGCCAGGAGAAAAGTGAGTTTCTCACTTCTGCATTTACATCCAGGCCCTGGAGTCTCTGAACAACGCTGTTAGCAGACACGGAATGAAAAGCTAAACCACTGCGTAGCCAGTTCCTTCCACAGAAGTTACTTTCCCCAGATGCCTAACTGCAGCGGCAGCTCCAGAAAACAGCACGGAGGACTTGTTTTCAAGCTTCAAAGCTTGCTTAAGAATAAAGGTTCATTTCCTCGAAAAGCTGGAACAGTTTCTTTAGCCTGTGGTAGAGAGATGGGGAATTAGGAAAGTTACCTAAAGTGACAGCTTCCATAAACATTTATGAAGTGTTTCTGTGGGCCCCGCTGGGCACTGGGAAAGAAGCTTGGATACTGTTTAAAGAATAAGATGCTTAATGGAGAAACACAAGGTTTTTTATTCCTTTAACGCGGCTGGAATGAGTACTTATTAGGTTTTTTTTAAAAGTCAGAATAGCCTAGGAACAGGTAAAGGGCTTTGATAAGGCTCCAGTGTTGGCTGCCTAATGTTTACCCTACAGAGCACCATCCGAGCGGTCTCCCACACAAATAGACCAGATTCTGCTGTATGTCACAGATGGTAGTGAGAAAGGAATTTGGAGGATGTAGAAAGACTGTGGACATAGAAGACCTAGGGAAGCCTCTTATGCATGTCAAGGAGAAGACAGGATTCAAGTCAGGGGAAGTACGGGGTATGTGTTCAGGAGGGAGTGCTTTTGTGGTCCTCACTAGCTACAGAATGGAAGATGCTGGCCCACCCTGTAGCCTCTTTTGGAGAGTTCCTGTGGCTATCAGAAATAGCTCAATGGACTTGACCTCGAAGGATTCTTGTTCCTCTGTTTAGGATGTGTTTGATGTGTTTGCCATGCCAGAAAGATATTTGGCTTTATATCAGTGGTTTTCAACCTGTGCCCAGTGACCTTTTGGAGGAAGTCAACCAACCCTTTCATAGGGGTCACCTGACCATCTGCATATCAGATATTTACATTACATTTCATAACAGGTAGTCTGTCCAATGCTAGGGATATCTGTGAAGATATTGACCAGTTATTGATTGGGTGGTCTTGAGCCCTGGGGACATGAAGTCTGTAGCAAGCTGCTGAAAGCACCTGCCTTTGCAAGGCTCTTCTGGGAGTCTGGATGTTTAAGTAGGAGAGTGTGACAAGGGGTGGTGTGACACAGCCAGAACACTTCCGAGCACCTAGGCCGTGTCCTTAGGGTTGGTACTGCCATTGGTGCTGTTAAAGAATGGGAGATTGAAAGAATCTATGCTGTCTTTCTTCTTTCTAGAATCAAACTGGGAGTTCAGTGTGAGACTAGTTGGAAAGAAAGGGGAGCAGGAGTCGGGCAACTTAAGGCAGTCAATGTGAGAAGCTCTTGTACGCGTTTTCTCTACTTGGGAATGCCTCAGGGATTTAACATCCTAATGTGCACATAATGGACAACATGCACTGAATGTACCTGGCTGAGGAACGATCCTTCTAAAGCCCAGACACTTTACCAGACGTTTATTCCATGAAAATGTTCTCAGGGGAGCAATGTCACTAGTAACTTCCAGCTTGTAAACTTTTAGGTCAGCAGAAAGGTTTCCGTGGTTAACACAACAATAATCACTTCAGAAAGAAATTAGCCGATTGAGTTTATTGTCGTGAGATAAAGTAAACAGAGGCTGTTGAATACTTTGATCAATAATTTGAAAAGGGATCAGTAAGGCATGAGCACCAACAAAGCCCTCTGATAGTCACTACTTAGAAAGTGTGGCTGCTTCATCTGCTTTCATACGTACTCAGTCACTGACAGCAGCCCTATGAAGGAAGTATTTTGTGGTTACCATACCCATTTTAAAGATGAGCAAGCTGAAGCCCAAACAATATGGCAAGCAAGGGAGGTGCTGGGGCCAAAGCCATGTTTCATAGCTGTGTTGTTTTTATATAGGAAGTTGGGTCTTCTGCGTTAAGCTTTTCTTACCTTTTTAAAATGATGATTAGAAAAGTAGTATGCAGTTATTAAATCAGTGGCGGAAGAATGGGAATCCACTCAGAATCGAGTATAACTTAGCTGGTCTGTCTTCCTATCTGTTTTCTGCAGTGCTGTGCATTAGCCAAGGACTGTGGTTATATTTGTTTTGTATATGTGCATAGGTAGACCCTGCCTTTGAGCTTTCCCTAGGGCATAGACCTTTTATTGTTGTCACACATATGCTATGTATTTTAATGAACACATACACAGGACTTAACAACCCCTCTATACACTCAACTGTGGGCAAGTTCTTTGACTTTTACAGAGCTTATCCTCCTTATAAATGAAAGGTGGGTCCAATCTTCTTCTTTCAAAGTATGGGGATCTACAGAAGTCTCAAGAGACTGAGGGTAGAAAGATCAGTAGAGCCCGGGCACTGGGCTCTGCCTGGGTCAGCCCAATCAGCCTAAGTGATATTAGGGTCCATACATGTTTGGAAAAAGTGACTTCTTGGCAAAGAAAAAAAAGTATGTAAAATGATCGGACTAGATGACCTTACACTTAGCATTTCTGTGATTTTCTCCTGTGATCTGTAAGTTGTTGCAGATTGTACCCATTTCAATGTTCATCACCAGAGAGATTAATGGATTATATAGGTTTGCCAGATTCCCTCACATTCTGTGATGGAAGTGTGGTAGATACAAAGAGAATCAGTGGTCTCTGTTGATGTGTCCAGAGTTACTGAGTTATATTGAGTTATTCTTATTAAGTACTCCCCCCCCTCCCCCGGAGAGCCATCCGCTGCTCCTGACCTTACACATTTTCAGATCCAGTTTAATGATCTGTTGCCCTGGAAAAACTGATAACTGGGGATGGGCAATGCTTGACACTGACACAAAGTTTATCAATGATTGCTCTTCCGAGTTCATTATCCACGTTGAGCCTCTTTGCATTTTGAAGGAACTGTTCTGGAAGTCTCATGGTCCTGACCTTTTCTTTTGCTTCCACAGAAGGAAGAATCCTGTTCAGAAATGAGGCGAATTAATGTTCGGACATCGGTGCATGAAGTATTTTAAACCTGCCCTGACCATCTTGCCAAATGAGTCTCTGCTCATGAGACCCAACAAGATGAACCAGCCAAGGAGAGATAGTGTCCTGCCCTGTATGAACAGTGACTGCTGACGCCTGAGAGCAAGCCGGGGGTACTGAATGCTGTCTGCAAGTACCATGAAGGAAGTGGTTTATTGGTCACCCAAGAAGGTGGCAGACTGGCTGTTGGAGAATGCTATGCCAGAATACTGTGAACCTCTGGAGCATTTCACAGGCCAGGACTTAATCAACCTAACCCAAGAGGATTTTAAAAAACCCCCACTGTGCCGAGTCTCCTCTGACAACGGGCAGCGACTCTTAGACATGATAGAGACCCTGAAGATGGAGCACCATATGGAAGCACACAAGAATGGCCACGCCAATGGACACCTCAGCATTGGCGTTGACATTCCCAACCCTGATGGCAGCTTCAGCATCAAGACTAAACCCAACGGAATGCCAAATGGGTTTAGGAAAGAGATGATCAAGATCCCCATGCCAGAACCGGAGCGCTCCCAGTATCCCATGGAGTGGGGCAAGACTTTTCTGGCCTTTCTTTATGCACTTTCCTGTTTTGTTCTCACTACAGTGATGATCTCGGTCGTCCATGAACGAGTACCTCCTAAGGAGGTGCAGCCTCCACTACCGGACACGTTTTTTGACCATTTTAACCGGGTGCAGTGGGCGTTTTCTATTTGCGAAATTAACGGCATGATCCTTGTAGGACTCTGGTTATTTCAGTGGCTGCTCTTAAAATACAAGTAAGTAGAGTAAACATTCTTAAGATCCAGCCATGAAGGGCTTGCATTTAGAGTCATTATTTGAAAATGAAATTTACCAAGTGTTGAAATCGAAGCTTAGTAATTCCCTTTCCCTTCCATTTTGAAGCCACACACCCATGGAACTAACTGAAACTCCTACAGCTTCAAGAGAATGTCATGTTTGTTGCCTGTTTGGTACAAGATTGCTCCAGAATTAAGACGATAAGCAATGATAGTCTGTCTCATGCAGTAGGAAAGAAAACACTTAGACATCTTCAGAGGGGAGATGGTGTTTACTCAGGTGAATTGTTGCCGGCCTCCCACCCCTGTCAGACCCAGGACCTCATCAATAAGTATTCACTGATTTTGACATGTGGAGTTCAGACAACTGTTCTACAATGGCTTTGGTTGGGGAAAACTCGTTTAATTTAAGCAGGTAGCATGGGGCAGAATCTATATGATTCCATCTTACAGGATGTGTGGATAAGTACCTGTATTTAGTTTTCGTTGGTTCCAGTATGATTTTCATGTCCCAAGCTCTAAACACAACAGGGACCTCCTAAAGTGACCTATTTATTTAGCCACACCTCTTTCCTTCCTTTAATGAACTGCCCTTGCTCATGGTGTCTGGTTTTCTTCTGAGTGGAACATCTTGTGGCATCCCTGTATGCTGTTGGGAATTACCGTTTCTCCCTGCCCACTGGACGTGGGAGCAGCAGGAGGAGGTACCACTGTGCCCTGACCACAGCCAAAGCTTACGGCCATTGCCCCTTGGGCACTGTCACCAAGTCCACATAGTGAAAAGGGATATCCCTGGGACTGAGGCCAGAGCCAGGGCTGCTTCCCTACAGACCTGGAGCTGCCACCCTGTGCCTGCTACTGCTGATGGGGCCACTGGGTTTCTGAGTTTCTCTCTGGTAGACTGAGTTGCCTGAGCCAAAGTATGGCTGGCTATTAAAGGAGTCGTATTCCATCAAGAAAACAAAATGCAGATGGAGTGTTGTTGTTGAATTTTTCTGAGTGTTTCCCTGGTGTTGGATAAACTCTCTCCGTTTCTGAAGTCATATGTCTGTAAGCAGAAAGGGAAGGCGCCTGCTGCATTTACCAGGGAGCCTGTCCTTCCTGTGCTAAGTCACTGACATAGCAGCCACATGCTTACTTAGATCTAGTTTGACAACTTTGTAGGTTAAGTGGAAGTTTTAATAGGATTGACGGGCTATGCTACCTTTGAGTTGTTGGGGGAAAAAAAGAAGTGTTGTTATTGCTGCTTCTGCTGCTGCTTTGGTTTTAAGAGAAATCGGCTTAAGAAATAGTGATGTTTGGAATTCCTTACATGCATGCTGCTGTTGACTGACACATTTTAGTCCAGTTTTTCCCTTAGGAACATTTTAACCTTTCCCCCTTAAAAGCCCATTGAAAATATTTCCCACACTGCTCAAATTCAGCTTCCTATGTTTTTTTTTTTTATTTTTCTTTAAAATTTGCTTTGTTTTTGTGAGTTTACCTTCTGTTTCTTTTTTTTTTTCACCAAGATTCATACACACAGGCAATTTTACTGCCCCAGAATATAACCTGGTAAGTCAGACTGAATCTTTTTGCAGAATTGAGATGTTTTATGAGTTCAAATCATAAACTGAAGAAACTTTCAAATCACAGAACAGAGTTCTTTTAAATGTTTTCTTTTTTTCTAGCAGGGCTGTGTTTCTCTTTAAACTTTCTTTTTTTTTTTTTTTAAGGTTCCACTTCCGTGGACACGAGTAGAGTTTTATTTTATTTTTTAAATTTAATTAATTAATTAATTAATTTATTTATTTATTTATTTATTTATTTATTTATTTTTTGGTTTTTTGAGACATGGTTTCTCTGTGTAGTCCTGGCTGTCCTGGAACTCACTCTGTAGACCAGGCTGGCCTTGAACTCAGAAATCCACCTGCCTCTGCCTCCCAAGTGCTGGGATTAAAGGCGTGCGCCACCACTGCCGCCCTGCCTCTTTAAACTTTCTAATTTGGTATTCTCCTGGTACTTATTGCCAACATTTTATTTATTTATTTATTTATTTATTTATTTATTTATTTAAATCCTTTGTCAGTGGTAAACCAGCTGGAATTGTTCTACAAAGCTAATTCAGAGCAGGCACCCAGGCCCCTGCTCTAGCTGGGGCTTTTCATGCTAGGTGACTTAGATGAACCCTTTCCTCTCAGGAGCCTTGTTCCTCTCACAGCAAACAACAGCTTCCCAGTCAAGGCCTCTGCTATCCTAGAAAACGTTTTAAACTGGCGCTAGCATCGCTGGGTAAGACACTGTGATGGAATTTGATTAGTTGGGTAATTTTATGCATCCTGTTCAGGCCTCTGTAAGGCCTTCACTCCAGTATCTTCCTTTGGAAGCAGATTGTTGCCCTAAGGTTCCCAATCCTGACTGTGTCCTCTCCCAGTACTGGTATGTGACACTCCAGGCATGGGCAGGGCGGGGGCTAGGGGGCACTGATAGTACAGGAAGTGTATAGGGATAGACATCATCCCTGGCTCTCATCAGAAGACGTTGATACAGCAGCCCAGCACCCGCCCTGTTTTTAGTTAATTGGCTATTGCTGTGCCACACTTTTATTTCTGCACGATTTTGAAAACCTGGGACTTCCGGGTTGTGGAATGTTCTCCTTAACTTTCCTCGTTTCTGTGTTAGACCTTTGTGATTTTGGGCCCTCACTCTCTCTGGCGTCCACCAGCCAGACGGTTTACCATGAACCATTTAACTCAGTCTCTTGGAATCAAAGCTGGTTGGCTGGTATTAAGTTCCCAGTAAAGCCCAAGTCTCCCCACCCCCACCCCACACACACACACAATGATTCTGATTTTAAGAATCTTGGAGTCCTTTAAAAGCCAGTCTATTCCTTCTTCCTTTGTACTTTCTGTCTTTAGAGAAAAGATAAAGTTGTCAAGGATGAAGTACTAATTGAAAAGCGAGACCACTAGTATTGTGACTGACATCCATCACCACCAAGCCCTGTAGAACCAGACTTTCAGGGTTCTGAACACCTTGATGTCTGAATTTGTGACGTTCAGTTCTGTCGTACATTGTATACAGTTGTCCTTCGCTGTGAAAGTAGGTTCTGAACTTTTTGGTTTTTAAAATTGTAAATAATGTTGTCTCCCCATTTAGAATTGGACTTTCAAGCCACTGACTAGGAAAAATTCCCGGGAAATCTCTGCCTTTGTGTCAGACTTCACTGCAAACCAGGTACCCCTTGTTTTAAGAAAGCACCATAAAGAACATTCTGAGCTTGCAGACGGCTAGAGCTGAGGCCTGGGCGTCTCTGTACGTCTCTCCACTAACATGGAGGCACTCCTGCATGTTCCCTGCGGCCCCACTCTGTGAGGACATTGCAGACCCTCCACAGAGAAGGCAGCACTGTAGTTTCCAAGTCCGGTTTTCTTATTAGGCTGAGTGTGTGTGATCTGGGTGCCTCAGCCTCTCCTTGACCAAAACCAGATCTGTGAGCTAAGTTTCCTAACCTGTTCCCCATCTCCACCAGTACCCCTCATCCCGTCTCTAGAAACGTAGACCAAACTCATTTGGCATTGTGTAAAAGACTGCTGCCAATCCTATTTTTAGGCATGTCTCCTCTTTTCATTTCTAACTGGGGATCCACACTGTGGAATCAGATGAAGAAATAACTTTTTGTCTTTGGAGCTCAGGGCTCTCCCCACAACAGAGTGTAAGTCTGCCCTGTTTTACCTCTGCTCCTCCAGATCTCTCTAAACACCTGAAGCTCAGATCACTTTCCATTCTGTCAATTTTGTGTCTCTCTTGTTTTTTAAAACTTTCCTTAAAGGAGAAAAGGATGTCATGTCCCTCACTCCCACTTGTATCTTAATGCCTGTGACAGAGCGTGGGACATACAAACACTATGTGTTCCTTTTAACTCTGTCCTCTCATTCACCTTGAAGTCCGTGAGCAACCCACTGTCTGCAAGCAGCGCTGAGCGAGTCGAGAGCGCTAGGGAGGTGGTGAGTCTGGGCAGAGTGAGGCAGGCAGTCACCAGCTGAGGCTGTGACAACAGCTAGTGTAAGGGACCTAGGGACAGGCAGTCAGCATGAGGGCTCAGTGGGTTGGAAATAAGGCTAGGTGATAGTTTCAGATTGGGTAACTATGAAAGGCACTGGTGAGAGAGGAGTTTAGTAGACACTTGAGTCAAACGGAAGACAATCCTGAGTCAGTATTTGGGAAAGAATGTTCCAGATAGGAGATACAGCAAATATATGAGGCTGGGATTTATTTCTCTGGCTCAATTGAGCCCAAAGTATTTGTAATGGCCCAGTAAGCTGGGGGAGAACTGTGCCATAAGACTCTAGTGAGGTATGGACAGGGCCTCAAATGGAACCAGTAAAGTGTGTAAGCCACTGGTGTGTAATGCTATAAACACACTTTGGACAAACTATGTAGGGTCAGCAAAATAAAATGCTCGGGTAGGGTACTTACTACCAAGCCTTAAAACTAGAGTTTGGATCTCAGAACCCATATGGTAGAAGGAGAGTAGTGACTCCCACATAAACACACACACACACACACACACACACACACACACACACACCCCAAATTAATACACTAAAATTTTTTTAAAATGATATGGCTACTTTGTAGATAATAGGCTAGAAGAGTTAAGTCCAGAGAATTGTCTGAGGCACCAATTACCACAGTGACCAAAGCTGGTTTGTTACATTGTTTCTCATACAAGGCTTTGGGTCTGCCCATGAAACCCTGATTTTTATATGTGACTTACAGAGGGAGATTCCACTAATTCAGGGATTCTCATAACTGTTGTTGAGTAGATTTTGTCTTTGGAACAAAGACAAGTAGCCTATATCCTGTTCTATGTTTAGTTATAGTTTGAGGGCCAGACCTTCACCTAAGAAGAGTAGAGTAAGTCATTTGGGTGAGGGGCAGGTTTTCTAAGTATGTATTGAATATATCTAGTAGCAACCCATTGGTAGTGTAAATAT